ACTTCAAAAACATGATTTTATCATTTCAATTGATGGGGGTAGGGGCAGAGAGCATGCTAAGCATATGTGCTGTACCATTGAAGCAGCATCCTAAGCATCCCATCTGCTTTTCAGTTGGCCTTAGCAGTTTGATCCTAATTCCATGATTTCATTCCTACAAGGATAGTTCCAGTGTATTTCTTTTTCTGTCAGGCTGTTAACCTGACTTGGTACCCCGTGTGACTATGTGAGTGGAACATAATAGTGGAAGCTACATTTATATCAGCTTTGAGTATCTCAGTCTTTCAGTAAGCATTATTGCTACCTTCTGTATTTTTTATTTGTGGAGAACAGATACTTGAGTTTTTAAAACCCAGGTTGGACATGCTGACACATGCCTGTAATCCCAGCACTTGGGAAGCTGAGGCAGGCAGATCATCAAGAGTTTGAGGCCAGCCTGGGCTACATAGCATGACCCTGGAGTTGGGAGGTGCAGCTCTGACAGAGCACTTACCTGGCCTGCTCTAGGCCCTCAGTTTCATCCCTAGTGTGTGCGCACACACAAAAATGAAGTAATGAGACCTGTACATTGACTGGGGAAGATGATTAAGCATAGTGGTAGTTTCACCTGAGAATATTGCTTTTGAAGAGTCTTCCTGTCATAGCACACATCCAAAGATCTTTTTATTTGATGTGACTTCTCTTTGCCCTTCATTTACTTCATGCATTACAGTTCCATACCTGCTGCTGGTTCCCTGTGGGGCGGGGGGATAGATTCTCTTAAATTCACCTGTTAAAGACACTAGTTCTTGTACCTAATGCTGAAATTTTTTCCCTAGACTGACCCCGAAATTCCTAAGCAACATATTTTTCATGATGCTTCTGTTGTTCCTCTGCCTGGAGTTAATTTCCTTTTCATTTGACAAATGCCTACACAAGTCTCAATTTCCTTCTTCCCTCTTCAAGGCATAGTTACTTATTTGATGAATGTTTATTGAGCATCTGCTATTTATGCTATTTACGTTGTAGATCTTTGGAATGTGTATCTGTCACTGACCTGGACAGACAAGGCCCCTGCTCTTGTGCTTACATTACTAAGAGTCAAGGCATGTAAGCAAGTTAATTCAAGATTTGAAAATGAATTGCCAGACATGGTGGTGCACACTGGTAATCCCAGCACTTAGGAGGCTGAGGCAGGTGTACTGCTGCAAGTTTCAGGCCAGCCAGGGCTACATAGTTCTGGCCTAGTCCAGACTACATACCAAAACCCTGTGTCCAAAAAAAAAAAAAAAAAGTGAAAAGGTGGCATCTGCCTGTAATCGCAGCATTGGTAAGGCTCAAGTAGAAGGATCACCACTTTGAAGCCAGCCTGGGCTTTAGCAAGACCCTGTTTCAAAAATGAAAAAGGGCTGGGATGTAGCTCAGTGGAAGGAGTGTCCCTGGGTACAATACCTAGCACTGCAAAACAAAATGAGTGTCTAAATGAAGTACATGTGGTTAATGAGTTACCTGAAATCCTACCTTAACACCCAGATCAAGTAATTTTGAGCCTTCTCCAGGGTACTTCTGTAGTCTAGTGAACAGAATAAAATTCCTTCTTAAGTATCTGTGCGTCTAGACAGAGCAGGGTGTTTATTAGGCAAGCATACGAAGCTTCCCTGGCAGGTTCCCTTCAGGTAGGGTAACTATTGCTCTGATGTAAGGCACATTCACTAATAAAGTTATATTGCTCTATGAAACCAGAGTACAGTGTAACTGATTGTAATATGTCAGATGGAGTGGGCTGCCCTTTGGTCTTTAGCAGTGGGTTTTCCACGTGTAATCATAGCATCTGGGAAGCCTAATTAAAATAATCAAGGGGTAAACTGGGCATGGTGACACAAGCCTGTAATCCCAGCCCTGGGGAGGCTGAGGCAGGAGCATTACCTGTCTGGTGGGGTGAATCAAGAAGCTGCTCCCTGTGTCAAAATGAGAGGAGTTTGTTCTAGAGGCATAGCGTTTTTCAACCTCAAATTATCAAGAGTCCGTCACAAACACGAAACTGGCACAACCCGCTTTCCCAATTTAGTTTACTTCAAGTGAGTCCTGATTGCTTCACTTAATCTGATATTTCCTCCATCCCCAACTGCGCACTGTTTTTGTTTGTATGGTGGTCTTTTGGATTGCCCTCTTTCTCTACCAGGTTGCAGGTAGAGAATGTACAAAATTGCTGTCTTCCCCAAATGTGCTAGACTCCACAGACTAGTCACCCTGTTACTTCACATGTGTGGCAGATACAGACCTGAGTGAAGTGTTCAGTGTGCTAAATTATAGCTGGCCAAAAGAAAGGCAGTGTTAAAGCCTTCTCACCTGATAACAAAGAGGAAACCCTGCAGGTGGGACACCCAATGGAAGTCTGAAGGCCCTGCCTCCGACCTCCGGGTGTCCGGCGCCCGCAAAAGATGTTTTTTTGTTTTTTGGTAGGGTTTTTTGGGGGAGGGTGGCGGGGAGGGGTGGGGTTAGGACGGGAAGCCTCGCTCCATTATGCTTTGAAGACAGATCAAGCATATGTTAAGAGCTCGTCCGAAAATTTACTGTAAGAAGTGAGGGCCCAGGATAATGTCCTTTCGCAGAGCAAGGTAGAGAAAAGATAACCTGAGCTGGGGAGGTGATGGCCACAATCCACGCTTCTGGGCTAGGACGTTGCGAGGTTTGTGAGACAGCCGCCGGAACAAGGCTGCCTGTAGCACCATAGCAACGGCGCAGGCGCAGCGGTGAAGGGTTCTGGGAACTGTAGTTTCCCACACTTTACGGTTAAGCGAAGGTTGCGGCCCACTCTGGCTGTTGGCACAGTTCAGTGCTGGGGGCTCCAGTGGTCAAGCTTTTCCATAACTACACTAGAAGTTTAGAGGCCTCGAAGGACCATAAGACGCGTTCAGGGTCGGTTACAGTGGTGCATGTTTGTAAGCCCATCATTTAGGGAGGTTGAGACAAGAGGTTCTCAAGTCCCATTTAGGCAATTTAACGAGTTACTACCTCAAAAAGAAAGGGCTGGGGGATGTAGCTCAGTGATAAGAGCACACCTGGGTTTGACACATGCACACACAAAAGTTTAATAAATTCCTAGAACGTAGAAAAATGCAAGAAAATGGTGAGATGAATGGTTATGAATGGATTATGCATTTGCCTGAGAGATAGTGGGAAGGGGTCAGTAAGCGAATGGGATCATTCCGAGTAGAAGAAACTCCTCCTAAATTTGAAAGGAAATCCGAATAGCTGGTTGAGAGTATGGGAGTGGTAGGCAGCAGATCTGAGTGTTTAGAAATAGAAAACAGGTAATGAAGGGACTTGAATACCAAAACCAAGAATTTTGATCTTTTCTTGAAATATGGACACCACACAGGACTAGACAGAATGAACAGCCTTCCTTTGTTTTGTCCTTCTTCTATTTTTGCCTCCTTTTCTCCCTCCTACCTCTGTGAAAGTAATAAATGGAAATCTGTTGAAGGAACATCTGATACACATCTAGAGTTTTTCCTCCCTAAGTGGTTGTCAAGGGATACCACCCAGAACAAGAAAAGGAGAAGGGCTGGGAGGATAAAGCTTGGTGACAGAGCACTTGCTTCTCATATAAGATGTAAGGCCCTGGGTTAGATTCCCAGCATCACAAAAAAGAGAGGGGCGGGAGTGGGGAGGAGGGAGGAAAAAGAGATTGAATGAAAAATTGGAAAGAGATGGAAATCAGTACCATGCCACTAGTACTTTGCCAGCATGCAATGGCAAGTAGAAACAAAACCCAACACCTGAAGGGCATTAATTATTCTTTTAAATGTCAGGCCCAAAGGTTTAGGAGGGAGGTTTTTATGGGGTTGCAAGCAAGAAGCAGAGTACTTGGCTGTCTTTGGTTTTTACAATATGCATTACAGTGACCAATATGATTACAGCAACCGGCCGTTTTTAGGAGACAGTAGTAACAAGAACTATCACAGAAACTATTACCTAGGCAACTAAGAAACAGATGTATACTGGCTGGAGGGGGGCATTTTTTGTTACACCAGCAGGAACCATGGGGTACCAGTTGGATCTGCAATCCTCTATGCATCAAGTGTTTAAGAAACTCTAGCTGAATTGAAACTGGGGTTTCATGTAGAGCAAGTATCTGATGGGTTAAGGGCAGGAGAGAGTTGGAATGCTTAAAACCCAGAAAGTTGTGGACCTTAGAAACTCAGGCCAGGCATGGTGTCACACGCCTGTAATCCCAGCAAGCTCCTGGTTGGGTTATGAAACAGGGGACTTTATGCAGTGAGGTTGGAAAGTTTGAAGGCCTGGACTTCCCTAAGCATTTTGATAGCACACCACTGAAACAGGAGAAGATATTCAGCCCAAAGCCCAAATGAATATTTACAAATTATTTATATATACAATCGCAGTGATGCTAGGCACTACATAAACATTTAAACAATAAGGACAAAATCTAAGAGATAAAAATATAGAAATAGTCTTGATATTTTCTTCCCACACCTCTAGGTATAACACACAGTCTTAGAATCCCATTGTCTCGCACATCACTTCAGGGGCTCTGATGTTGTAGTCCAAGGGAGTCACGGGAAGCTCTGGATAGAGGACTAGGTTAATAGTCTTACCTATAAACTTTCAGAAACTTAGACATAAAAGAACTGTGACTGTCTTAAAGTACATGTACCAGCCACTGCCTCAGTGCTTTCCACATAACTCGTTTAGTTCCTACAGCAACCACATTATTAGCTTCTCGACAAAAGAGGAAACAGGTTAGGAAACCTTCCCCAGTCACACAGCAGCGGCACAGCCAGAATCTTTCTCATGTAGCTTGGGTTCGCAAATCCCTGGCGAAAGCAACGTTCTTTTTCAGGTGTGGCCTTCGTCAATTTGCTCCCCAGTCACAGCTGTGGTAAGAGGGCGAGGAGTAACTACTGGTGAAGCCTTTAAAGTGGCAGTTCAGAAAAGGTTGCTGCAGTGTCCCTGGGCCGAGACAGATAAACACGCAGGCGCAAATCAGTGGGTTTGGTTTCTATGGTTTCCGACCGCGGAGGGAAGGTCGCCTCCCGGCATCGCGCGGCAAACGTCGAGCGGCGGGCATGCTTTACGGCCGGCGTCAACGTCGGTAACCAGTGCTTCTGGAGCGGCGGCCTGGGAAGGAGACAAGGGCACTTCTGTGGGTCGGTAAGAACTCATTATTTCTGCACGACCCTGGAAGTTCCCTCTGAGAACTTCCGCTTGGCTGGGACGCCCCCTCTGCGAGGCCCAAACTCCAGGGATGTTTCTTATTTCCTCGGCCCCTGCACCGATATAGCCATTGTCCCGACGCCTGGAGGCCGCACCTCTCTCCAAGTTAACTTCGTTTTCTGGTCTACTAACCCTCTGACCTTTTGTTAGTTAACCAGAAGTCTACCCTCATTTCCCAAGCCGCCTCGCGCCTGCGTAATTTCGGCCCCTCCGGCCTTGTTAACGCTTTTTTGTTCTTCCACTCGAGAGCTACTCTGGGGTCTCGGTGTCCCCGCTTACCCTCCTCCTGTAACTCGTCCGTTGCTCCCGTGGTACGCTCTGCACTGACCTTCACTTGGCGAGCTCTTAATCCGTCTCATGAATTTTTAAATCTTCTGGATGCTTTTTCCTTTGAGCTCTTACCGTTTGTATTCTTTCCAGTGTGTTCTCAGTTCCTAGTGTGTGGTTGTAATGCGTATGTACGTTGAGCTGCTGCTTTCCCCCATCTCAGTGCCTGCAATGTAATTTCTTAGTAAAAGAAACCTCAGAAGTTGAATTCCTCAATAAATCTGTGCGTGTTCACTTGCGTTCATATTTGTGTGGCTGGGCATGGTGGTGCACGTCCGTAATCCCAGCACTCGGGAGGGTGAAGCAGAAGGATCGTTGCGAGTTCGAGACCAGCCTGGGCTGCAAAGTGAATTCAAGGCCAGCTGAACAATATAGCGAGACCCTGTCTCAAAAAGACAAAAGAAAAAACAAAACACATTTGTGTGCATCTGTGTGCACATGCTCTTTCTTAGTTTTTCTTTCTTTAGTATGGTAGTCATTCCCTCTCCCCTCCCTTTCTGTCTCCACCTCTCTCACCCCCCTCCTATTTAACATAATTATATATTTGCCACGTATATCATTCCTTTTTCCCAGTATCTGCCTTATTATACTCAGTACCAGAGTTTAATTACCTATACTTTTATTGTTTGCATGTTTAAGTTTGAAATGTTTTTTCAGCAGTTATTGAAGCTCTGCTTGGTCCCTGGCCTCAAAGTGCAGTGTTCTGAGTTCGATTCCCAGTACCAAAAAACAAAACAAGAATACTCATTGCCCATTGGAGGAGACATACAAATTAAATAGTCCATTACAGTATCTGCACAGTACTCTGTGGAAGTTGAGAGTACTATAGAAACACAAGAGAGAGCCTGGGTTCCAGAGGGTTTCTTAGGTGCCACATAGGTTGCTATAGAAACAATGGATAGAAAAAGGTGAAAAGGTTTTCATGGTGGCTCACACCTGTAATTCAGGCACTCTCGGAGGCCGGAGCAGGAGGATTGCAATTTTGAGCCCAGCTTGAGCAATTTAATAATTTATTAAAACCCTATGTCAAAAATTCAGGGCTGGGATGCAGCTCAGTGCAGAGGCCCACTACTTAAAGAAAAAAAAAAAAAAGTAAAATGTTTTGTGCTTATACGTTTTTTCAGTTTTCTTCTGATCTGTTTCAGAGAACTGGGATTCAGTGAAAACATAAACACTTTTGACTTTTGACAAAAAACAAACCATATCACTATCAGAATTATTTTTGCCTTATTCTTTAGTTCTAGTTCTAAAGAATGTTTCAGGCCAGGGGGTATAGCTTGACACAGCACCTGCCTGACAAGTTCGAGATACTGATTTTGAGTCCTGGTTTCAAAAAACCAAATGAATATATATATATATATATATATATATATATATATATTTTTTTTTTTTTTTTTTTTTTTAGTCTTTTTGAGGCAGGGCGTCTCTATGCAGTTCAGGCTGACTTTGAGCTCACTTTGTAGCCTAGGTTGGTCTCAAATTCATAATGATCCTCCTGCCTCGGCCTCCCCAGTGCTAGGATTACAGGCATGAGCCTCCATGCCCAGCTTTTTATTGTATTCTTATAGCATTGTTACTCTTTAATTCTTTTTATCTTCCCTTATAGTCATGCCTTTCTTTGATGTGCAGAAAAGACTGGGCATTAGTTTAGATCGTCACATGACGATCCAAAGTGCTGAACAGCCATACAAAATTGCTTCTCGATGCCATGCTTTTGAAAAAGAATGGCTAGAATGTGCACATGGAATTGGGAATACCCGGGCACAGAAAGAGTGCAAGATAGAATATGAAGATTTGATGGAATGTTTGCTTCTGCAGAAAAAGGTGAGGAAATGGTGGAGATGGGAGCTGAATTTCTTTGTTTCTTTGGGGGTTCTTTTGAGTGTCTTTAATTGGTCATTAGGCAGTGATGTACCCAGTGTAAATTGGCAAAAGATTTATGGTGAAACATCTCTATTTAGGATCCATGACAAGGAAGATAAGTGCCTCTAGGTCTAAGGAGGTCTTCCTCAGTGTCTTCCGCATCTTCTCTCAGGTGGTCCCTCACATATTTAAAATTTTTTTGCATATTTTAAAATTTAATTTTTTCAAATTCATTTTATTTCAAGAAAAAAACGAAGAAAAAATAAAAATTTCAAAACAAGTCAGTCAGGGCAACAGTGGTACATAGATTACACACTGTCATTCCCAAATCATTCGCCTAGAGCACAAGATATCTGCATTCAATTGTCTGAACAATACCAGCACAAATTATTCTCTTCAGTGAATTCAGAGAAATCAGTAGTATAATTCTCTTAACTATTTTTTAATGTACATATACATATGTTGTTTCTTTCAGCTTTTCACACTAGTGAGACCATATAATGTTAACACATGTATGTCTTATTTATTTCACAGATGAGTATAGTCTCAAGTTGCATCCATTTACCTATAAAAGTCTCGTTTATCCTTCTTTATGGCTGAGTAGTAATCCATTGTATAAAAATACCACATCTTTTTTTATCCGTTCCTCAGTCAGTGGGCATTTAGGTTGTTTCTAAGATCTGGCTGTTACAAATTCTGCTGCTATAAACATGAGTGCACATACGTGACTATGGTATGATGTTTTTAATTCTTTTGGGGAGATATCCAAAAGGGGAAGAACTATGTCAAATGGGACCTCTAGTCCTAGTTTTTTGAAGAGTCTCCACACTGTTTTCCACAGTGGTTGCACCAGTCTGCATTCCTAACAGTGGAGAAGGGTTCCTTTTTCCCCAACAGCTGCACCAGCATTTGTTACTGCTTGATTTCTTGATAATAGTCATTCTTTCTGGGGTGAGGTGAAATCTTACTGTTGTTTTAATCTGCATCTATCAAACGACCATTTGAGCATTTTTTTACGTACTTACTGTTCCTGTTTCTTCATCTGAGAAGTATGTATTCATCTTAGATGCCCATTTTTGGATTGGATCTTTAAATCTGGGAGGACTAATATTTTAGAGTTCTTTCTATGTTCTCAATGGTAATCCTTTGTCTGAGATACAGCTTGTAAACATTTTCTCCCACACTGTGGGTTGTCTTTACACTCTGTTGGTAGTTTCTGTTGCTGTGCAAAAGCTTTTCAAAAGGGTGAGATCCCAGTTATTGATTTTTTGTGATAGTTCCTGTGCAGTTGGGATTTTGTTCATAAAATCTTTGCCTACACCAGTGTCTTCAAGGATTTTACCTACTCTTACCTTCCTGCAGATTTAATGTTTCTGTTTTATTCTTAAGATCTTTGATCCATTCTGCTTTTAGCTTAGTGCATGGTGAAAGATATGGGTCCAGTTTTAATATTTGGCATGTGTTGAGCCAGTTTTTCCAGCAATATTTATTAAAGAGGCTATCTTTCTCCCAGTGAATATGTTTGGCACCTTTGTAAAAGCGACTTTGTGTATCTGGAGTTGTTTCTGCAACTTCTGTAATCTGTTCCATTGATCTTTGGGTCTGTTTTTTTTTTGCCAATAACACGGTGTTTTTATTACTATAATTTTAAGTCAGAGATCGTGATGCCCCTGTCTTGTCTTTGTTGCCTAGGGTTGCCTTTGCTATTCTAGGTCTCTTCTGGTTCCAGATGCATTTTAGAATTGTTTTCCCTAATTCTGTGAGATATGCAATTGGAATTTTGATTGAGATTGCATTGAATCTATATAACAGTTTGGGAGTATGACCATTTTCAGTATGTTGGTTTCTTCCTACCCAAGAGCACAAGCTATCTCTCCATTTTCTAATATCCTCTTCAGGGCCAGGGGTTGATTTAGCTTAGTGGCATAAACAACTGCCTGGCAAATGTGAAACTGTGAGTTCGTCCCCAGTCAAAAAAAAAAAAAAAAAAAAAAAAAAAAAACCAAAAAAACTAATATCCTTTTCAATTTCCTTTTTCTTTTTTTTTTTTTTTTGTCTTTTTATCGGTACCAGGGCTCGAACTCACAACTGCCTGCTTGCAAGGCAGGTGCTTATGCCGCTGAGCTAAATCCCCAACCCCCAATTTCCTTTTTCAGAGTACTGTAGTTTTAAATGTAGAGGTCTTTTACATTCTTCATTAGATTGATTCCTAGGTATTTATTTTTTTTGGATGGTCACAAAGGTATTGTTTCCCTGATTTTTCTTTCAGTGAGTTTTTCCTGTACAAGAAGTCTATTGACTTTTGAGTATTGACTTTGTAACCAGCTACCTTACTGAATTTGCTCATTAAATCTAGTAGTCTTTTGGTGGAGTTTTTGGGGTCTTCTTTGTAGAGTATTAATTATGTCATCTGCAAATAATGATAGTTTACTTCTGGGGTTTTTTTTTTTTTTTGGATCAAACTTGCAACTTTACACTTGCCAGGCAGGTGCTTACTCTGCTGAGCTAAATCCCCAGCCCAAGTTTAATTTGTTCCTTTCCAACCTTTATTCCTTTTATTTTTCTGTCCTCTATTTGCTTCAGCTAAAGTTTCTAGGACTATGTGGAATAAGAGTAGAGATAGTGGACATCCTTGTCTTGTTCCTGATTTTGTCTATTTAGTATGATGTTGGCTGTTGGTTTTCATAGATAGCTTTTATCGGATTGAGATAAAGACCGTCTGCCTGCCTGGCAAGCACAAGCATGTGAGTTCGATCCCTGGTTTGGGGGGGGGGGAGAATAAAGACCGAACGTCTATACCAATTCTCTGTAGGATTTTTATCATGAATGGGTGCTGGACTTTGTTAGAAGCTTTTTCTGCATCTATTGGGATGAGCATAAGATTTTTCTCCTTGGCTCTGTTAATACGATATGTTACATTTATGGATTTACATTTATTGAGCTATCCCTGCATCCCTGGGATGAATCCCTACTTGGTCATGTGTATAATCTTCTTCATGATTTACTGCATGATTTACTTCATGATTTACTGCTTACCAGGATTTTAGCATCAGTGTTCATTATGTAATAATGTACACTCTCTGTATTTACATTAGCTATGTAGTAATAATGTAATTATTTTTCTTAGTTGGGTCCTTCTCTGGTTTGGTATCAGGATAATGCTTGCTTCCAGGAATGAATTTGGAAGTATTACTTCCCTTTCAATTTCATTAAAGGGTTTGAGAAGTAGTGGTGTTAGGTCTTCTCTAAATTTTTGTATGGTAGAATTCAGCAGTGAATCTGTCAGGGCCTGAGCTTTTCTTTGTTGGTAGGTTTTTAATTACATCTTCAATTTCATTGATTGAAATTGGTTTATTTAGGATTGTATCTCCTTGATTCATCTTTGGTAATTTGTATGATTCAGCTTTGGTAATTCATATGTATCTAGGAATCTATTCATTTCTTCTATATTTTCCATCTTATTAAAATACAATTTTTCAAAGTAAATGTAGATGATCTTATGGATTTCTTCAGGATCTGTTGTGATTTCACCCTTTTGATTCGTAATTGCATGAATTTGAGTCTTTCCTTCCCTTTTTTTTGATAAAATTGGCTAAAGGTTTTTCAATTTTATTTAATCTTTCAAAGAACCAGCTCTTCAATTCATTGATTCTTTGTATTGTTTTTTAGTCTCCAGTGTTAATTTGGCTCTGATCTTTATAATTTCCTCCATCCTACAGGCTTTTGGCTTAACCTGCTGTTTTTTCTAGAAGTTTGAGGTTCAACATTAAGTTGTTTATATATATTTTCTCTGTTTTCCTGATATGGGTATTTACTGCTATAAATTTCCCTCTTTTCTTTTTTTTTGTACCGGGGATTGAACTTGCGCTTGCCAGACAGGTGCTTATGCTGCAGAGCTAAATTCCTGTAAATTTCCCTCTTATAACTGCTTTATGAGGCTGGGGATTTAGCTCAGCAGCAAAAGTGCCTGCCCAGAAAGCATGAGGTCATGAGTTCAATCCCAGGTACCAAAAACAAACAAACAAAACCAAGTTCCAATGTTATATTGTTGGTATCATTCAACTGTAAAAACTGTCTAATTTCTTCTTTAATTTCATCTGTTACTCTTTGGTTGTTTGGTAGGGTGCTATTTAATTTCCATGTGTTTATAAAGTTCTTTTAATTTCTTTTGCCATGGATTTCCAATTTCATTGCACTGTGATCTGACAGTATGCATCGGACAATTTGAATTCCTTTGCATTTCCTTTACCATGTTCTGTGAGCCAGTATATGGTCTGTTTTGGAGCATGTCCTGTGTGCAGCTGAGAAGAATGTGTATTCTGATGTTGTAGGGTGGAGCATTTTATAGACAGCTACTAAATTCATTTGTTCAAACGTTTGATTTAGTTCTAATATTTCATTATTGATTTTTCTGGCTAGCTGATCTTTTTGTGACAGTGGGGTATTGAGGTATCCCAATACAGTTGCATTAGGGCTTATTTGATTTTTCATGTCCGTTAGTAATTGTTTAAATATATAGTTGGGAACACTGGTATTTGTTGCATATGTATATATGATTAATATCTCTTCCTCTTGGATTGTTCCCTCGAGGATGTAGTGACCTCTTTATCTCTCTTAATCAGTCTTGACTTGAAATTCACTTTGCCTACAAGTAGAATAACTGCCTCTGCTTTTTTCTGGTTTGCCATCCCATGGAGTATTGTTTTCTGTCCTTTGACTGTCAGTCTATTTCTTTTTGAATGAAATGTTTCTTGTATGCAACATATTGTTGGATCATGCTACTGCTGCTGCTGCTGCTGCTTTTTGATCTTTTAAAAAAGTTTTATTTTTGGATCTTGCTTCTTGATCCATTCTGCCAGTCTGTGTCTTTTGATTGGAGAATTGAGACCATTACCATTGGTGGTTATAACTGATATGTATTGACTTGTCCTTGTCATGTCGTTTTCCTGTTGTTGGCATCT